ACATTAATTAAGCATTCCATTATAGTTAAATAATTACTCAATTAAATTATAACATTATATATTACATTATATTATGATCACTTACTTAATTATAGCATTACATAGTTTAAATGATTCATAATTAGTTATGAATTTATAACATTACATTAAATATTAGTAATTTACTATATTATTACATTATTTAATTAAATAATTAAAATTTAATTAATTAATAACATTACCTTATATATTTAAAATGATTACTTAATCAATTAAACATTCCATTATAACATTAGTATATTAATTAAATGATTTGAAATTTAATTAATTATAATATTAAATTATAGATTTATAGTATGATTACTTAATTCATTATAACATACATTATACATTATAATATGATCATAATTATATAACATTACATAATTAAATGATTACTTAATTGATTATAATATTATATCATAAACATTAGTAATTAATTTACTAATTTACATAATCTTAATTAAATTATTAGAATTTTATTAATTATAACATTACATATAAATTTATGTAAAATCCCTTGATCAAAGGTAGATTACGTCACTTCCTTATAACATTCTATTATAAACAATATTACAATACTTAATTAAATGATTAACAATTTAATTAATTATAATATTACATTATAATTAAACCCTAAACCCAAATAGTATATTTGTTAGGGGTGTCTTTGTAAACTTTTAAGGTATTTTTGTCATTTTTAAACTAATAGGGGGGTAATTAATTTTTTACAGGGTACCCCGGAAAGGAACCGGAACCTGCATTTTTGGTTCCGGTTCCTTGAATTGAAGAACCTGCATTGTGCGGTTCTGATTCCGATTCTTTTTTTTGAGAACCTGCACTGTACGGTTCCGGTTTCGGTTCTCCCGGAAAATGGAGGGTACCAGGAACCGCTCACCCCTAGAAGCAGCAGCCTCCTTGAGTGTAGAAAGAGTATTTCACGGATATCCTTGATTCGATAAATGATCTAATCTGGATCATAACCATATTCCCGACTAATCCATAACTATATAAATATGACTTGGAAGCCCTCGCTGGTCTAGACATACATTATGAACACAGGCTGAGTTTCCAAAGGGGAACTCACCTGGCGGCCAATTGTTTGGAGTATTTGCATGCTGACTTGTGGGGAACTGAGAGGGTAAAGTCACATAGGAGCAGTAGCTATTTTCTATCCATATTAGACGACTATAGTAGGAGAGTGTGGGTATTCTTACTTAGGACTAAGGATGAAGCCTTGAGTAAGTTTAAGAGTTGGAAGGTACTTGTTGAGAACCAAACTGACAAAAAGGTTAAAACCCTTAGGACTAACAATGGATCAGAGTTTTGCAACCTAGAATTTGACACCTATTGCACTGAATAAGGTATCCTAAGACACAAAACTATTAGGAAAACCCCTTAGCAGAATGGGGTTGCTGAGAGGATGAATAAGACCCTTTTAGAGAAGGTTAGATGCCTGCTCTTTACCTCCAGCCTACCAAAATCCTTTTGGGGGGAAGCCCTTAACCCTACTGCCTACCTTATTAATATAAGCCCCTCAAGTGCTATCAACTTCATGTGCCTTGAGGAAAAATGGACTGATAGGAAACCTAACCTAGGACACTTAAGGACCTTTGGATGTGCTGTATATGTACACATCAGTAAAGGGAAGTTAGAGCCTAGGTCCCTTAGGTGTGTTTTCTTAGGCTACCAAGAAGGAACCAAAAGGTATAGAGTTTAGGAAAGAAGTGCTTCTAGGGTTAGGATAATAATAATCAGTATGGATGTGATATTCAATGAGAATGTATTTCTTTGCAAAATTGTTAGCTCTGATGTAGGTATAACCAGCAACCACCCTATGAGTCAGGATCAACCTAAGAAAGTTCAAATTGAGGTAAAGCCTCCTGCACCTCAACCTGACCTGGAGCAGATGGATGTTGGAACTGATGTAGTAGGCTTAGACATTGATGTGGAAGAGGAACCTGCTGTAGAAACTGATGAACTTCATCCTGATCCCGTAGCACAATACCAGCTGGCCAGAGATAGAAGCAGGAGAGAGATTAGACCACCAACAAGATACTCTTATGCTGATCTTATCTACACAGCCTTAGTGGTTGGGGCACAAGTGCAGAGGACAGAACCAGACTGCTATGAAGAAGCAGTTAGATCCAAAAACAGAGAAAAATGGCAAGCTATAATGGAGGAAGAGACGTTGTCCCTAAAGGTAAATGGAATCTGGTCTTGTTAGGAAATGAGCAAGTTATGGCATCGGAAAACAAAATTTATATGTAACATAGATCGTTCCTTAGAACCAAGATCAAGACACAAATTTTCAGTTTATACATTAAAATTAGAATCTGTAGAAAAATCAGTTTAGAGTTAAGAAATCATATGCACGTTTGGAGGCTCCTCCAACTTATCTCTGAATGGGTTCGCTACCGATCCAAGGGTAGGATCGAACCATCGGTAGTCCACACGAAGATAACCTCAAGGAACTAAAGAGGGATTTGCTAGATCCTCTTTAGCCTTAAGAACCAAGAACTAAATCAAAAATATTTTGATTCAACAACAAAAGCACTCTAGCGTGGGAAGAGAGAAAAGGGGGTTGGAATTTTTAATCTTAATGATTGAATGAAAAATGTTATATCATTTCACAAAAATTCTGCACTTATATAGTGCACACAATGCCATATTCCCTCATGGAATAGGTTTGGACACCAACCCAAACAACCCTTATGTCCAAACAGCCCCATTTAGATATTTTAATTATTTTTATTTTTATTTCAATTAAATTCGATTAATATATATATATATATATATGAGTAATGCTACAGCCATCGAAGGTTATACACCGAATTCATGCACCGAATGACGTGGTAAAATCCTGACCGTTGATTAATTTTAACTTAAAATTAATCAATGGTCAGGATTTTACCACGTCATTCGGTGCATGAATTCGGTGTATAACCTTCGGTGGCTGTATCTTTTTCGTATATATATATATATTTAACAATAACAATAATTCATTTAAATATATGAGAACACATATTTAAATATAATCTTACTTAATTAATTTTTAATATCAAATTAAATAAAGGCTACGATCTCAGCAAATTTAATTGCACTATGAGATTACCAAAATACCATTTTGCCTAAAAAGACGAAAACACCTTTCTTATAAACTGGTTCTTAAATTATCTTCTATGTGTGACCCGTAGGCTGCTTATCATACTGGTAGTATGTAGTATCGCGATTAACATCAATTAATCGTCTCATTATACACAGACTAAGATTGGCCCCTAGTAAGGCATCATGGCCACCCCATAGATTCGAATTCAGCGAAGCAGCTACTTGTCAACGATATAGTTGCCGTACAAACCAATCCTTTCATCATCTGTTATCTCAATGAGACCGAGGCACATAAATAGTGTCAACCTCAGTTACTCTCGATATGCATATATTCAGTTACTGAACCAATGACCGGAATAATAATCTGGATAAAACAACAACTCAATCTCACTGTGGCCATAGTTTTAGTGTCATTGCCATTTACTAAATTGCACTGTGAGATAACTTCTCCCGTACCCGGGAGTGATGAATCCTCTGTCGATCCATCATAGTCTTGATACACTCCTTGATGCAGCCAATCACTACCATATTGACAGCTCTAAATAGAACTGTGTTGGGCTAGTGTCAAACTGCATCAATCAGTGCGCAAGGCGCTCCAGTGATCTTAAGTCTAAGGATCACATGCACCACCATTCGTTAGAGGATTTGATCCATAGACACTGGGGTTATCATCCATATGGAATCCTCTGGTGGGTCAGTCCAATGTACTTGCCTACAACAAGCACCCATGTGTTGCACTAGGTTGTCACCAAACAACCTTGACAAGTGAGATCAGTCACTGCCTTTCGATAGGGTCATTCAACACTATGATAGTCTTACTGTATTATCTGTGCCCTTACTTTATAATAATACTAAGGCTACATACGTTTCTAGAATGGTCACCATATAAGCTCATAGGGTTCTCACTATCAAGATTTGAAACACTTGATACCCTCGTCACGGTTCTACCATTCTAAGGACATATATCAATACATATAATAATGATTTATGTGATACAGAATAAAATGCATTTTTATTGATCAATGAACATTATTATAAAGAGTCAATTCTACAATAACTGATTGGCTCTAGGGCACCCATTCTAACAGGTCTTTGGTTCTAAATCCCAAAGACTAGAAATTGGTTGAGTGTAGGTGGCTATTTAAGCTTTAAAAAGGTATAAACTTTTCTGACCCTCCTAGGTATAAGGCTAGTTGGTAGCCAAAGGCTACACACAATGGGAGGGAATAGATTTCAATGAAATATTCTCTCCTGTTGTAAAATACAAGACCATTAGGAACATGTTAGCCATAGTTTCCCATAAGGATTTAGAATTAGAACAACTTGATGTTAAGACTGCATTCTTGCATGGCAACTTAGAAGAGAGGATTTACATGAGACAGCCCATTGGTTTTGTAGATAGGAACCTGCCTAATCATGTGTGCCTACTGCATAAGTCACTATATAGACTAAAACAGTCCCCTAGACAGTGGTATAAGCGATTTCATGCATTCATTCTTAGTATTGGCTTTAATAGAAGCAAGTATGATAGTTATTTTTATTATGCACTCACTGATGGCATGCCTTTGTATCTCCTGTTGTATGTTGATGACATGCTTTTAATTTGCAAGTCTAAATCCAGGATGGAAGAGTTAAAGAAAAAAATAAACTCTGAATTTGATATGAAAGATTTAGGGTGTGCAAAAAGAATTCTAGGTATGGTCATAGATAGAAATAGAGACAACCATGAACTGAAAGTCCACCAGAATTCTTACTTGCAAAAGTTAGTGTCAAAGTTTGGTATGGCAGGATCCAAATTGGTAACTGTACCCTTGGCTGGACATTTTATGTTAAGTAAATTACAATGCTCTAAAATTGATGTTGATTTAATAAAAATGGAGAATATCCCCTATGTTAATGCAATCGGGTCAGTCATTTATGCCATAATTAGCACAAGACCTGACCTCTCTTTTGCAATCTCCCTCCTAAGTAGATTCCTGTCAAACACTGGTTTTGAACATTGGCTTGTCTTTAAATGGCTGCTTAGGTACATTAATAGCTCCTTGAATGTTGGATTGGAATATTGTAAAAGTTATGACTCACTTGATCTTGTAGGCTTTGTAGATTCTGATTTTGCAAGTGACAAATATACAAGGAAGTCAACCACATCATACTTCTTTACTTTGGGAGGAAATTGCGTGAGCTGGAAGTCCCAGCTTCAACCAATTGTTGCTCTGTCCTCAACTAAGGCAGAGTATGTGGCTGTGGCTGACATCTTCAAAGAAGCTTTATGGCTTCAAGGGATGTTATCAGAGGTTGAGCTACTTGATGGGGTAGTCACTAGCTATTCAAACAGCCAAATTGTCATACATTTGAGCAAGAATCCAGTCTACCACTAAAGGACCAAGCATGTAGATGTGAGATATCATTTTGTGAGAGATCTTGTGGATAAAGGTGTGATCAATTTGAAAAAGGTGGCAACAGAGGACAATCCTACAGATATGGGAACAAAGGTGGCCACCCTAACCAAGTTCAAGCACTGCTTGAACCTGCTGCATGTCAAGTGAACATCAGCAACAGAGTTCTGAAGAGTTATTTGTGGGTAAGCTGCACTAGTGAGTTTTTGTTGGAACTTATGGTGTTTTAAAGCTTCAAGGTGGAGATTGTTGAGTGAAGCTTTAAAACAAATCTACCTATACGCTGCCGTTTTGAAGACCATTCAAGTTTTGATCTCAGCCATTGATTTCAGTCTGATCTAATGATCCCCAACATTCCAGTCCAGCAAGTCAAACTATAAAACAAGAGAAGATTGACAGATTTGAACAGTGCATTTCATTCCTCTTTCGCAATGACATTGCTCTGCTAGGGTTCTTCATTTGAGTTTTCTCAAATCTTGTAATTGGGTCACAATGTTTGTAATTGTGGGTAAAAGAATAGGGTTTCTTTGGGGTAGAGAGGCTAGGTTTAGGTTCTCTTTAGGATTTACGATTACAGGTCGATTTGAGGGATTATTGTGAGAAATTCAGGTATTAAGTGAGTTGGTTTGTAATCTTGTACATTCTTGATCCTTATAGTGCAGCGAGCCCCAAATTACTTGGAGCTCGATGTGGATGTAACTTATTCCATTGGAATAAGTGAACCACAGTAAAAATCTTTATGTTCTTGATTTCTCTCCAGTTTGATTCGTGTGTTGTGTGTGTTGGTTTGTTTGATAGTGGAATTAGCTAGGATTGAGTTTGATTTAAACCCAATAATAAGATTATTGTCTTGTAAAGATGAAGAATAAGTGTATGTTTACTTGGGATGATTTTGTTTGGATATATATAAATCAAATCAGAACAATGCAAAAATCGGTTAAGCTATAGGAAAAAAATCAATAAAGATTGACTCATAACTAGTGATTAGAAACCCAACTTGTATAGTGACCCAGCCTAGCCACCGAGTCCCAGGTCGAGAAGTTTGATCGGTGTTCAAAGGTTTGAAATCTAACAAAAATACCGTCGGTCAAGCCGGTGTCCAAATGTTTGATCGGTGTTCAAAGGTTTGAAATCTTGCAAAAGCACCCAAACACCACAGTTGGCATCGACAAATAGGGCCTATTTCCAGTGATGACAACAGTCCCTATCAGCATGAAAGCACTCCCCTTAGCCTCCTGACCAAAACCCATCTCACCTTCCCCCGCTTGCTTCCCCAATTGCCGACGACATTGAACTTTTTCCGGCGACATTGTTTTGCAATTTCTGATCGATTCACTCATTGGAAATCGACACCTTTGCCACCATTCCACTCACCGTCTATTCCTTTTCAAAAGCCCTAACATTCCAGCCTTCAATTGTTCACGAATTGATGTCCTAATTTCTAGAGTTTTGAATGAATAGGAAAATTTGTAACTCGACCCAATGAAGGCTCTAGGTCACGATTGAATCTGTTCAACCGACCGGGCCAGGCCAAGTTCCTAATCACTACTCACAACCCAATTTTATAAATTTTCTCTCACAATCTCGACGTGACAGTTTATAATTGGTTAGCTTGTAATTAGGTAGGTGAGACCTATTGTTGGGTAGACAAAACCCATTGCGAACTGCTGCATTGAGGTTTTGAGAAAAAATTTATAAAATTGGGTTGTAAGTATATGATCGAATCCACTCTAGCTACTATCTTGTATCTTACCTTTTTTTTTTTGAATTTTATGAAAAATCTTATTTATATATTGATTGTTTTTTCTATTTTCAATCTTTTATTAGAAGAAAAAATAATCAAGAAAATTTTATTAAGGAAAATCTTAGATTTTCCATCCAATCAAATAAGAAGATACGAGTGCCACGTTTTAATGTTTGAACGTTGTAAGTAGAGGTGGAAAAGTAACCTGCCCAGCTCGACCCAGCCCGGCCCGCGACGGGGTACAAAATTTGGCGGGTCGGTCCTAACCCACCCGCCAACAAAGGCAAGCCGGGTTAGGCCCGCCATTTTGGAGAAAATGGCTGGCCCAGCCCAGCCCGCCAACCCTAACCCGTCGGGTTAGACGGCGGGCCGAGCCGGGTTACCCCTATTTTTTTTTTATTTTCTTTTGTTTTATTTATTTAACTTTTCAAATTAATAATTAACAATTATAAATGTAATTGTTTTTAGTTAACTTTTCAAATATCAATAATTCAATTAAATTAATTTTTTTTTTTTAACATTTCAAATATTAATTCAATTTTAATACAATAAAATTGTAATATAAGAAAAATTAGACTTATTCATTTATAAAAAAATAAAATAAGAAATTACAACAATTATTGCCTTGTTAAAAACCTCATCAAGAAAAACCCAATGGGAGAAAA